TCCGGAGAAGAAGCCGAGTTAGTGACATCCAGAATGGCCGAGTTAGCAAGATGCAGTAATAGAATACGAGACAGAGAGAGAGAGAGAGAGAGAGAGAGAGAGAGAGAGAGAAGGAGAGAAGGTGCCCGGTGTATTATAGGGGGGTCCTCCGGCAGACTAGGCCTAAGTCAGCCTAACTAGGGGCTGGTACAGGGCAAGCCTGAGCCAGCCCTAACTATAAGCTTTATCAAAGAGGAAAGTCTTAAATGTGTGTATAAATATATATATATATATATATATAAATACAGTATATACTAATCCCCCCTCAAGGGGGAAATTTTGTTTTCTGTAACATTTGTTGTTCTCTGTAAATTGTCTTTGAGTATCCAGAAAAGCTCAAAAACATAAATCCAATGTATTATTATTATTCGCTTCACTGTAAAAACATGCAGAACCAATCGAGCACCTGTGGTCATGACACACATATCAACAGACCTGTTTGCGGTACTCCGCATCAGCTCAAGACTTCCCGCCATTATCACTTGAATTAGCCTCTAAACTGTTTATGCTAATGCTAACCGCTAGCCGGTATGCTAGCAGTTTATGTTATCCGCTAACATGCTATCACTTTCAGCACATAGACAGATCCCAGGTGGTTTCTGAGTCAGTTCCAGGTGAGTGTGTTTAGAGTGTCTTACCTGAGTCTGTCCTGACGTCACTTCCTCACTGCGCCTGCTTCCTCTGCTCTCACCTGTGAGGTCTCACCTGCACTGAGAGCTGTGACTCCGCCCACACCTGACGGGGAACACCTGAGGATGACGTATCTTCAGAGATCTAGACTAATACCTGGACAGAAACACGAGAAGCTGTGATAGTACTTCAAATAATCTTAGAGTGTTTCCTTCTGTTACTTCCTGTTTGATTTTAATGTTGTTTAATTTAATTTAATTCAGCTGAAGGTTCATAAAATATTTTTATCCTCGTATCTTCACAGACAGAATCACCAGATGTTCCAGATGTGTTTTTATTCACCACAGAGTTCATCATGAAGAACTTTATGGAGTATGACACTTTGTAACTGTACTGCAACGTTTCAGCCACCAGGTGGCGTCTCTGAGTGAGTCCCTGTTGTAAAGAGGAGAAATAATAAATTAAATATAAAGAGTTTATTTTATTTGATGAGTCCTGATTGTCCTCATACTGACGTCTCTGCTCGGCTGTACTTTTATTATTTACATTCAGTACTTACCTTTTATACTTTTTCTGTTTGTTTGTTTGTTTGTTTGTTTACATGTTTACAAAGGAGGGTTTGGGAGAAACAGTATTTCAGTGTTTCAGTCTTGTCTATGTCCTGAACATACAGCTGAACTACAGTAAAGTTGACTTTTTGACTTTTCTGTGTCTGATTTTCATAAAAGAGGCTCGTTGGGTTGTCACTGAAAAATATAAACACATATCAACACTTTAACTTGTTGTAAATATTTAAATAAAGATTATTTTCATGACTGCAGACAAACATGAGCAGCTCATATCAAAGTGTGAACAACATGTGGGCTCTGCAGGTTTGTTCCAGGACATAGACTGATCCATCATAGACACAGTTCAGCTGTTTGTATGAAACCAAACACCAACAGGAATCAGCTGTGAATCATTTATTATATAAGAAGATATAAAGTCAGAAGGCTGCTTGTAGTTCAGTCGTTACATCATCAGTCACATGAATTTACACAGATTGATTAACAGTTATTGATCAGGTGGCAGGAGGTGATGACGTGAGGCAAACAGGTGACATCTGATGGCACAGTAATCAATAATCAATAATCTGACTGATTCCGTTCAACACATTTAATACTGAGGGAGGGAACGAGAATGTGTCGTCATCAACAGTGAGGCAGCCATCTTGGAGGGATGAAGGTAAGAGCGCCATCTGCTGGATGTTTGATGTCAGTGACAAAAAGACCCGATGAAAACTCAGTGAATCAGATTACAACACCAGAAGAAGAAGTCGGACACAAAGTGTTTCATTTTGTTAGATACGAGTAGATTATGTATCATTAGCCAACATTTAGTTAGCATCCAGTTAGCATAACATGAGCTAGCTTGTCTTTGTGTGGATGGTTGTGTCCCACCTGTCCCACATGAGCCTCCTGAGGTTCAAAGTGGTTGTGCTGCTAACAGATGCTAACGCTTAAGACCAGGTAAACATCAAGGGCAGTTACGGTCATGGTCACCATACGGTCACCATTTTACATCTGCTGATTTTTAGGGATCGATGTCACTGACTAAATTCAGTTTTGTAATGTTTGACTCCTCTGTGTTTGTCGACAGTTTCTCTTTCACACGTTTACATTTCTGATGACATATGATCGACAGGCAGCTGTCACAGTTACTGATGTTTATCCCTCCCAGATGGCAGCGTCATCCCAGAATGCTTTGTGATTCCTATTCCCCATATTAACATTAAATATCAACATCAGCTAGTTAAATGTGATAATTAACCTGGTGAAACTCACCTGTTAAACTATAGTTGAGCCCGTATATTTAAATATACCTAGGCTAAAGATGTTCAAGTTTAAATTTTCACAGCTCAACATGTTTGATGTCACCGTGTATCACCTGTGTTGAGTCATCAGAGATTTATTTCCATCAGAGATTATTTTAAATCATCACAAACAAAGACATGAACTCCAGCTTTAATTCACTGCAACAGATTTTCAGTGGGTTGAACATTTAAACACCGAGCTGACATCTTTAAAACCGTATGAAAGATTCCAGAAACTGATGAGACTGCTTGTGGAAGCTAATTGGGAGTTCATTTTCAATTATTCCTTCATTTCCGTAATTGCTTTTCTTGTTGGGGGTCACGGGGGGTGGAGCCTATTCCAGCTGATATTGGGCATGAGGCAGGGTTCACCCTGGACAGGTCACCAGACTATCACAGGACTGACACATAGAGACAGACAACCATTCACACTCACATTCACACCTACGGACAATTTAGAGTCACCAATTAACCTGCATGTCTTTGGACTGTGGGAGGAAGCTGGAGCACCTGGAGGAAACCCACGCTGACACAGGGAGAACATGTGGGAGCACCTGGAGGAAACCCACGCTGACACGGGGAGAACATGTCGGAGCACCTGGAGAAAACCCACGCTGACACGGGGAGAACATGTAGGAGCACCTGGAGGAAACCCACGCTGACATGGAGAGAACATGTCAGAGCACCTGGAGGAAACCCACACTGACACAGGAAGAACATGCAAACTCCAAGCAAAAAGAACTGTGGTCCTTCAGAAGTCTGGTTCATCTCTAGGAGCAGTTTCCAAGAGTCTGAACCACACAGAGGCTGAATCGCTGAGGAAGATAGAGAAAAATTTCCCCAAGGACTGAACGAACCTCGACCCAAAAGGTTCAACTGAACCCTGAGACACGACCAAAGGAGCTGTGAAGGAGCTGAAAGGCAATGTGATAAAATACTAACAGTGTATTCAAACTTTTCACCCACTGAAAATCTGTCTCAGTAAATAAAAGCTGAAATACATTTTTATCTTGTCTCTGATTTTGAAATAATCTCTGATGAAAATAAAGTAGATACAAACTTCACCAGAGAAAAACAACATGGTGACATGAAGAATATAAAGATGTGAAATATTAAGTTTGAATTTCTTCAGCCGAGGTAAATTTAAATTTATGGCCTCAACTGTAACTAATTAATTTACTCATTAACTAGTTAAACACACAAATTAACTAGTTAAAAAAGTAATGACTGATGTAAGTAGTTAAAGTACTTAACTTTTTGTGTCTGTATTTAGTCGACACTTGGCTGTGGTGGAGACGAGACTGTGATGCAGCGCTAACTGGCTGTTAGTGAGCTAGCTAGCTTGGTGGACTAGCAATAGCATATTTCCAGTTAGCTAGCATGTTACAGGTTAGCTTAGCAGCTAACGTCACATTCACAACTTTATGTGTATTGGATTAACAGAAGAGTCATTCACTTATTCACTCCATCACAACAACTGCTCGTTAACAGAATCCTTCATGAACTGATCATTAATGAGATGATCACATGAACTAGTCAAACTGTCTGCTGTTGGCTCATGAATGAAGTCACTTCCTGTGTGTTGTTCTAGTTCAGTTCTGCTGAGTCAACAAAACATGTCCTGAGAAAGTTCTGTACCCGCTGTGAGACACTCTGACTGATTCATGAGAACATGGTAACCATGACACGTTCCAGTAAGAAGAAGAAGAAGAAGAAGAAGACAAGGAAAAAGGTTTGGGCTGAAGACTTCAGGCTGAAGATGAGTCCACCTGAGTCTGCAGGTTGTCTCCTCCTCTCTCAGACTGTCTTCAGGTCTCAGATCCGTTCACTGAATTTATTTCCATCTGGTTTGGTCAGTTCTTTAGAGTCCAGTTCAGATTGGGACTAAAGTTCTTCTACACCCGTTGGCGTAGTTTTCCTGGTTACAGTGATGTCATCAGATTTGTGGTTCTGATGACATCACTGCAGACCAGTTCAGGTCCAGCTAAGTCCCAGTCCTCGGGTCATCATGACCTCCTCCAGGTCCTGGTCCTCCTGTCGCTCCTGTAGTCTCTGTTCCTCCAGCAGAGACACCAGAGAGTCTCTCTGCTCCACCACCTCCAACATCTCCTCCAGGATCAGGCGCTCCTCCAGCAGCTGCCACTCCTCCTTCAGGTGGTCTGAACACAGCACACACAGGGTTAATAATTTAATAGACCTAATGTTACTTCTATATATTAAATGTTCAAACCACAGAGTCAGACAAAGATCACAGGTGGTCTTCATCCACACCTGGACACCTAAAACCTCACAGTCGAAGGTGGAGGTTACAGGAGGAGGTCAACAAGCTACCACATCAAAGGAAGGCAGCAGATGTGCAAATTACCCACTCCCTACTCAGAGAGGTGGTGATGATTCAGGACTCTTTTGAGGCCCTGTGACTGGACTGAGTACACTGTAAGTCCTCTAACAAGCATTGATTGGGGGGCAGGTCTGGTGCCAGCAGCCGCCGTAATTCCAGCACCCTCAGCATTTCTTGAAGTTGCTGCAGTTAAAAAGCTCGTAGTTGGATCTTGGGATGGAGCTGACAGTCCGCCGTGAGGCGAGCTACCATCTGTCCCAGCCCCTGCCTCTCTGCACCCCCTCAATGCTCTTAGCTGACTGTCCCACAGGGTCTATTCAAAGCAAAGTGTTCAAAGCAGGCCGATCACCTGAATACCACAGCTAGGAATAATTGAACAGGACTCCGATTTTCTCACTGAATTGGGGCCGTGATTCAGAGGGACAGGCGGAGACGTTAGAAATGTGCTGCCAGAGGTGACATTCTTGGACCACTACAAGACGGACGAAAGCGAAAGCATTTGCCAAGAATGTTTTCATTAATCAATAATGAAAGTTGATGGTTCGAAGACGATCAGATACCGTCGTAGTTCTGACCGTAAACAATGCCAACTAGCGATCCGGTGGCATTATTCCCATGACCTGCCTGGCAGCGTTTGGAAACCAAAGTCTTTGGACTCTGGACTGGGGAAAGAGACTGAGCTGCTAAATCATTGATCTCTGTTAGGTTGGTATTCTCTGATGTTTCCATGGTAACAGCATCACCTTTTTTTCACATTTGTATTACACATTTTTTTTACTATTTAAATAATAAACAGGAAGTCATGCTGTGATGAGTCGGTGTGATGTTACCGTCCACGGCCATACGCTCTCTGAGCTCCTGCTGCAGACGACTCTGTCGGTCCTCCAACTCCAACTCTCGAGCACTGAAACACAGCAGAGACCAGTGTCTGAAACCAGGATTCACACAGTCCCGATCAATCCTGATCAACCTGAAAACCACATCCAGGACGTTCTGATGGACCAGAACCTGCTGAACGAACCACATTCAGGAGATTCTGATGAACCTGCTGTTGGTTTAAAGGTCAGATACTCACAATATCATGAGTTCAGATTCGTATCGGATCAGAGAGTTCTTCTGCTGGATCAACTGGAACCACTGCTGCATCAGAGCCGGATTGTCCAGTTTACCCAGTCCTGCAGAGAGACGAAGGTTTAAAGGACCAGTTCATCCAAAATACAAACAGACAAACATACAACAGAAGAACCAGTTTGTCCTTCATTTCTCTCTGATTCATTTTAAAAATAAAACCATCTCTGGACACTGACTTGACTTGATAGACAGTGACTGACAAGACCTGATCAAACATGGCTGCCATCGTTTTCAAAGTTCTTTGTTTTAGTGGTGCCAAAATACCAGAGTAGCTTTGACACCAGATGTAAATGTAGACACAGTTCTGTGTTTTAAAATGAAAACATCAGTGTGGACGTAGCTCAAATGTTTTTTTTACATCATCACTGACATGCTGCAGTATAATAGAGTTCTCTTCAGCTTCCTACAGCCCAGTGACTCACATGACATTAAGTCAGAAGGTGAACTAACCTTCCAGGTGAAGCTCGACGTCCTGGTTGTCGTTGGAGTCGCCCCAGTAATCTAACAGAGACACAACTTTGATTAAAAAATATCTGAACTCATCTTCAACACCAAGAAATCCCCACATGTACAGATTATTTTACATTAATAAGCAGCAGGAAGGAAACTAAAGTATAAACAGCAAAGGAACCAACATAGAGCCCTGTGGAACCCCAGGTCTATAATCTGGATATTTAATGACTGTATGTAATAATAATAATAATAATAATACATTTTATTTGTTGGCGCCTTTCTGAGCACCCAAGGACATCTTACAATAAAAACATACAAAAATACCAATAATACAACATTAAATTAATTATTAAATAGATAAAATACATGACAGAAAATCAAACCGGATAGGCAAGTCTGAACAGATGGGTTTTAAGCTGTGATTTAAATTGTCCAATGGAGTCAATCTGACGGATATGGGGGGGCAGAGAGTTCCAGAGTCTGGGTGCAGAGCAGCTGAAGGCTCTGCCACCCATAGTGGTCAGTTTGAAATTAGGGACAGACAGAAGAGCAGCTGAGCAGGAGTGTAGAGCACGGGTGGGGGTGTAAGGGTGGAGAAGGTCTGACAGGTATTGGGGGGCCAGGTTATGGAGAGCTTTGAATGTGAGGAGAAGGACTTTATATTGGATTCGCTGATGGACAGGTAGCCAGTGGAGCTGAATGAGGATGGGAGTGATGTGGTCGGTGGATTTGGTACGGGTGATGATTCTGGCGGCAGAGTTCTGGATGATTTGGAGACGATGGAGAAGTTTGTTGGGGAGACCAGTGAGGATTGAGTTGTAGTAATCGATACGTGAAGTGACAAGTGCGTGGACCAGGACCTAGGTGTTGTGTTGGGTGAGAGATGGACGGAGTCTGGAGATGTTACATAAGTGCATGAAGGCAGCACGGGTAATGTTACTGATGTGGGGGGAAAAAGAAAGAACACTGTCCAATATGACACCAAGGCTTTTGACTTAGGAGGAGATATGGACCGGGTGACCGTCGATGGAAATATTGAAGGGATGAGTGTTGAAGAGTGTGGACCTTGTGCCGACGAGAAGGACTTCGCTTTTATTTCCATTTAGCTTGAGAAAGTTGTTTGTCATCCAGATGTTGATGGCCTGGAGACAGTCAGTGAGGGGGGGGGAGCTTGGTTTAGTGGAGATGTAAAGTTGTGTGTCATCGGCATAACAGTGAAAATGAATTCCAAAGTGACGGAGGATGTCACCAAGGGGGAGGATGTATATGATGAATAGAAGCGGTCCCAGCACTGATCCCTGCGGGACACCATGTGTAATGGATGATGGTTGTGAATGAACATTTTTCCCTTGAACAAACTGTTTCCTGTCAGATAGATATGAAGTGAACCATTGTAATGCAGTACCAGAGACCCCAGTGCCAGCAAGGCGTTCCAGGAGTATGGAGTGGGAGATGGTATCAAAGGCAGCACTGAGGTCGAGGAGGATGAGGATGGTGAGAAGGCCAGAATCTGCTGCCAGGAGGAGGTCATTGGTGATCTTGATTAAGGCTGTTTCTGTGCTGTGTTTTGGGCGGAAACTGGACTGGAATGATTCAAAAAGACTATTATTGTGCAGGTGGTTCTGGAGGTGGGTTGTTACTGCCTTTTCTAGGATCTTACAGATGAATGGGAGGTTGGAAATGGGCCGATAGTTATTATGGTCACTGGGATCAGAACCAGGTTTTTTAAGAACGGGAGTGATGGAAGCAGTCTTCAGTGATGGTGGAACAGTAGCAGTGGAAAGGGAGAAGTGAACTATGGATGTTATAATGGGTGAGACTGTTGGCAGACAGGCTTTAATTAAGGCAGTGGGGAGAAGATCAAGTGGGCAGGTAGAGTTCTTGGATGCCTTGATGAGCCTATTAATACATTCAGCAGATGGGAGTTGAAATGTGGACAGAGTGTTGGAGGGTGGAGGATCCAGGGTGTTCCACCGGGGGTAGGTGGCTTGCGTTGGTGCGGGAGTAGTCAGTTGTTGGTGGATGATGACAATTTTTGAGTTGAAAAAGTCCAGAAACTATTGACACTGTGAGGTGGAGATGAGGTGAGAGGGGGTTTCAGCTGGTTTGAGGAGTTTGTTGACAGTTGAAAATAAAATCCGGGTGTTGCTGTCAGCAGAGTTAATGATATGGGAATAGTAGGTGGACTTGGCTGTGTTGATGGCAGATTTGTAGGAAGTGAGATGGTCAAGATACATTTGCTGATGCACTACAAGACCGGTTTTCCTCACTAATCGCTCCAGCTGGCGACCCCGTGTTTTAAGCTGGCGAAGCTCCGGGGTGTACCAAGGGGAGGACCGAGTGAATGTCACTGTGCGGGTTTTCAGGGGGGCAAGTGTGTCTAGAGCATATTGGAGGTTGGCGTTATAGTGATCAACCAGTTCAGCAGTAGTGAGGGAGTGAGGGGAGCTGAAATGAGTGGAAGTGCTAATTAGACTGTTAAGCTCAGTGATATTAATATTCTTAAGGTTTCTGAAAGATATGGAGCAGTTATGGATGGATTTTGAAAGTTGAAGATGAATATCAAAAATGACAAGCTTATGGTCAGAAATAGGAAGATCAACAGCACTAAGGTTACTTAGTGTGACTCCTGAACAGCAAACTAAATCGAGAATATGCCCTTTGTTGTGAGTTGGGAAATTAACAAATTGAACAAGGTCAAAACTATTAAGGGTAGAAATAAAATCTTTGACAGATGTTTCAGTGGGCTTATCAAGATGAATGTTAAAATCACCAGTTAAAATAACATTAGGAGACATAGCACAAAGATCAGCTAAAAGGGATGTGAGCTCACTAATGAAAATGGCAGAGGGTTTAGGAGGTCGATAAATAGTAACAATGAGGGTAGGTGTGGGGCCATTCAGCTGAGCAGCCAGGACTTCAAAGGAGGACGGCTCTGTCACTGGGACAGGCGTGATTTTTAAGTTCTCGCGATAGATCAGCGTGAGACCGCCCCCTCTACCGGAAGAACGTGATTTGCAGATGTAAACAAACCCAGGTGGTAGTGTTTGATTCAGGTGGAAAAAGTCATTCGGCTGTTGCCATGTTTCCGTGACACATATAAATTCCAGTTCTAAATCCATGATGGATTCGGAGATAAGTGGTGCTTTGTTAGCGGACATTGAAGGTAGAGAATTTAAAACAGTTGGAGGGAAAAAGCTCCGCCATCCTGGGAAGAGAAGCCAACACGTTATGGTTAGCAGATCTACCGGCGTTTCCAGCCTTGTGCTGCCGGCGTGGATCCCTCGACCAGAAGGATCGGATGGAACCGCTGTCATCGAAGCAGAAGTTCCTGCGGGATCCACGGTGGTTGTACCTCGGACGTCGGAGAATGTCCCGGTGGACGAGTAGGCTGGCTGGTAGCTCATACCGTGACCGAAGCCAGTGGATTTCATCAGCTGAGTATGTCAGTCATGGCAGAGCAGTTATGATGGTGGAGGACAAGACAATCCATAACAGCAGCTTGAGTATCCACATTGTAGCAGTGCCGTAACAGGAGAGACCAGGAAGCGGTGGTGAGGAGCATGCACGCCAGGACGCCAAACTCAGAAAGGTCCCGTTCGCAGCAAGTGAGATTCCTCAGTGGCTGACAGATGATCGTAATAATATGAGCCAGGTAACTGATATAAAACACTGATACCACTGGTAGAGGCAGTTTAGCAGGCATCAAAAGGTGTTAAATAAGTAAAAAGTAAAAAAGAGAGCCGGTGAGCAGCGGCAGCCAAACGCGCCAGCATTCACTCACATCACCCGGAAGTGAGTGATCATGATCATGTGTGTATTAATATGTGTATATATATGTATATCTATACTTATACACGTGTGTGTGTGTGTTTGTACCTGCTTCTCCTCTCAGAGCCTTCTCCACCATCACTCCTCTCTCCTCCAGCTGTCTCTGTTTCTCCTCCACCTGCTGCAGCTGTCTCTGGATCATCTGATTTCAGAAATATAAAACTTACAGATCACGTTTAAGATCAGAGCAGCTTTTAAAAATCACATTAACATGCACATTTTCACTGTTACAGAGTTCCTGAGAGCACCTGAACAGACCAGCCTCGGTTTGGTGGTTTGACCCACATCAGAGTTGATGACAGATTTCTGTCCTCAGGTGGAGCTGGTCTGTAATCCTGACTGTCCCTGTCCTAAAGTGGATCTGGTCTTTAATCCTGACTGTCCCTGTCCTCAGGTGGACCTGGTCTTTAGTCCTCAGGCAGACCTGGTCTGTAATCCCAGCTGTCCCTGTCCTCAGGTGGACCTGATCTTTAGTCCTCAGGTGGACTCACCTGAGCTTTGTGGAGTCTCTTCAGCTGCTCCTGTTTGGCCTTCCTTCGAGCAGCTCTCTGAACTCGTCGGGTGATTTTGGTATCCAGGTCTTCCTCTTCGTCTTCCTGTCCCCTCTGGAACATGGTCTCCTTCACGCTGAGACTAGATGGCTCCTTCGGCTGGACCAAGACCCCCACCACCTCGGTGGAACATGAAGACCGTCTCTCAGAGTCCTGGACCGGGACTCTGTCCTTTTGAGAGCGTCTCTGTAAAGAACACAACAGCAGTGTTAGAAACTTTACAGGAAGTCCATCAGAGAGCCTCAGAGGACGGTACGTGAAGTAACTCCACACAGAGAGGACGATGTGAGTCTGTACCTTGATGGCGTAAGCTCGTTTAAACGCCAGAGCGTGAGGAACGTATGCCGGCTGAGACATGAAGCACAAAAACAACCAAAGAAAAGACAGAGGAGAGTTTAAAGGACATCAGGTCTCAGCAAAAGACTCTAACATGTCTTGAACACGTCCAAGTCCAGTCTTATGTCAGGTTTGACGAGTCTGTGTCATGTCTCAGATGAGTCATTGGAGATAATCAGTCAGAACAGGAGTAAGTCTTCAACATCTCAGTTCAGTTCTGACAATTAAATTATCATTTTATCAGTTTATTTATCCTCTGTATATCTTTTATGTGTATGTTTTTACTTTTTACTTTTTGATACCCTTTGTGCTTTTTACCCTGTGTGCTGTTATCCAATGCTGCTGGAATCTTAATTTCCTTGAGAGAGTCTTCCCAAGGGATAAATAAAGTTCTATCTAATCTCTAATCTCTAATTTAATCAACATCACCTCATTGCAGATTTCAGCCGTCTAAATACATTCAGACAGTCTCTGCTCAGCTAACATCAAACACAGTCACAGAACATAAACCACCAGCTACGTCCTAACACTGAGATCTTCTACAGGACATCTGGTACCTCCTGGTTCTCCTCCTCCTCTTCCTCCTTTATCATGACTCTCTGAATTTCAGATGTCAGGTCAAACAGTTCCAGACGCAGCTACAAACAACAAAACAGGACAGTTACTGTGAGGATGTCTAGAGGTGATCCAGGTATTAGATCAATCCCTAAACTCATCTGAGTCTGTCGACTATAAAACATATGTAGACAGGTGCAACAGTGAGCAGGGTCATCTGCTCCCAAGATAGTTCAGCTCATATCTTGAAGGTAGAGCTCTGTTGTGATCATAATTAGTGACATGTGAAGTCCTTCAGGATTTGATTTCTGGGTTGCTATTATTCATTTGTTTGTTGACACCCTGATCAGAGGATCCTCCTCAGCTTGATAAATCCATCTGCATAAATTCTTACTGTGATCACTGACAACTCTGATTCTGAGAACAAGTGTAGAGTGTGTCAGTACAGGTGTAGAGTATGTCAGTACAGGTGTAGAGTGTGTCAGTACAGGTGTTGAGTGTGTCAGTACAGGTGTAGAGTGTGTCAGTACAGATGTAGAGTGTGTCAGTACAGATGTAGAGTGTGTCGGTACAGATGTAGAGTGTGTCAGTACAGATGTAGAGTGTGTCAGTACAGATGTAGAGTGTGTCAGTACAGGTGTAGAGTGTGTCAACACAGGTGTAGAGTGTGTCAGTACAGATGTAGAGTGTGTCAGTACAGATGTAGAGTGTGTCAGTACAGGTGTAGAGTGTGTCAGTACAGGTGTAGAGTGTGTCAGTACAGGTGTAGAGTGTGTCAGTACAGGTGTAGAGTGTGTCAGTACAGGTGTAGAGTGTGTCAGTACAGGTGTAGAGTGTGTCAGTACAGGTGTAGAGTGTGTCAGTACAGGTGTAGAGTGTGTCAGTACAGGTGTAGAGTGTGTCAGTACAGGTGTAGAGTGTGTCAGTACAGGTGTAGAGTGTGTCAGTACAGGTGTAGAGTGTGTCAGTACAGGTGTAGAGTGTGTCAGTACAGGTGTAGAGTGTGTCAGTACAGGTGTAGAGTGTGTCAGTACAGGTGTAGAGTGTGTCAGTACAGGTGTAGAGTGTGTCAGTACAGGTGTAGAGTGTGTCAGTACAGGTGTAGAGTGTGTCAGTACAGGTGTAGAGTGTGTCAGTACAGGTGTAGAGTGTGTCAGTACAGGTGTAGAGTGTGTCAGTACAGGTGTAGAGTGTGTCAGTACAGGTGTAGAGTGTGTCAGTACAGGTGTAGAGTGTGTCAGTACAGGTGTAGAGTGTGTCAGTACAGGTGTAGAGTGTGTCAGTACAGGTGTAGAGTGTGTCAGTACAGGTGTAGAGTGTGTCAGTACAGGTGTAGAGTGTGTCAGTACAGGTGTAGAGTGTGTCAGTACAGGTGTAGAGTGTGTCAGTACAGGTGTAGAGTGTGTCAGTACAGGTGTAGAGTGTGTCAGTACAGGTGTAGAGTGTGTCAGTACAGGTGTAGAGTGTGTCAGTACAGGTGTAGAGTGTGTCAGTACAGGTGTAGAGTGTGTCAGTACAGGTGTAGAGTGTGTCAGTACAGGTGTAGAGTGTGTCAGTACAGGTGTAGAGTGTGTCAGTACAGGTGTAGAGTGTGTCAGTACAGGTGTAGAGTGTGTCAGTACAGGTGTAGAGTGTGTCAGTACAGGTGTAGAGTGTGTCAGTACAGGTGTAGAGTGTGTCAGTACAGGTGTAGAGTGTGTCAGTACAGGTGTAGAGTGTGTCAGTACAGGTGTAGAGTGTGTCAGTACAGGTGTAGAGTGTGTCAGTACAGGTGTAGAGTGTGTCAGTACAGGTGTAGAGTGTGTCAGTACAGGTGTAGAGTGTGTCAGTACAGGTGTAGAGTGTGTCAGTACAGGTGTAGAGTGTGTCAGTACAGGTGTAGAGTGTGTCAGTACAGGTGTAGAGTGTGTCAGTACAGGTGTAGAGTGTGTCAGTACAGGTGTAGAGTGTGTCAGTACAGGTGTAGAGTGTGTCAGTACAGGTGTAGAGTGTGTCAGTACAGGTGTAGAGTGTGTCAGTACAGGTGTAGAGTGTGTCAGTACAGGTGTAGAGTGTGTCAGTACAGGTGTAGAGTGTGTCAGTACAGGTGTAGAGTGTGTCAGTACAGGTGTAGAGTGTGTCAGTACAGGTGTAGAGTGTGTCAGTACAGGTGTAGAGTGTGTCAGTACAGGTGTAGAGTGTGTCAGTACAGGTGTAGAGTGTGTCAGTACAGGTGTAGAGTGTGTCAGTACAGGTGTAGAGTGTGTCAGTACAGGTGTAGAGTGTGTCAGTACAGGTGTAGAGTGTGTCAGTACAGGTGTAGAGTGTGTCAGTACAGGTGTAGAGTGTGTCAGTACAGGTGTAGAGTGTGTCAGTACAGGTGTAGAGTGTGTCAGTACAGGTGTAGAGTGTGTCAGTACAGGTGTAGAGTGTGTCAGTACAGGTGTAGAGTGTGTCAGTACAGGTGTAGAGTGTGTCAGTACAGGTGTAGAGTGTGTCAGTACAGGTGTAGAGTGTGTCAGTACAGGTGTAGAGTGTGTCAGTACAGGTGTAGAGTGTGTCAGTACAGGTGTAGAGTGTGTCAGTACAGGTGTAGAGTGTGTCAGTACAGGTGTAGAGTGTGTCAGTACAGGTGTAGAGTGTGTCAGTACAGGTGTAGAGTGTGTCAGTACAGGTGTAGAGTGTGTCAGTACAGGTGTAGAGTGTGTCAGTACAGGTGTAGAGTGTGTCAGTACAGGTGTAGAGTGTGTCAGTACAGGTGTAGAGTGTGTCAGTACAGGTGTAGAGTGTGTCAGTACAGGTGTAGAGTGTGTCAGTACAGGTGTAGAGTGTGTCAGTACAGGTGTAGAGTGTGTCAGTACAGGTGTAGAGTGTGTCAGTACAGGTTTACAGTGTGTCAGTACAGGTTTAGAGTGTGTCAGTACAGATGTAGAGTGTGTCGGTACAGGTGTAGAGTGTGTGTCAGTACAGATGTAGAGTGTGTCAGTACAGATGTAGAGTGTGTCGGTACAGATGTAGAGTGTGTCGGTACAGGTGTAGAGTGTGTGTCAGTACAGATGTAGAGTGTGTCGGTACAGGTGTAGAGTGTGTGTCAGTACAGATGTAGAGTGTGTCAGTACAGGTGTAGAGTGTGACAGTACAGATGTAGAGTGTGTCAGTACAGGTGTAGAGTGTGTCGGTACAGGTGTAGAGTGTGACTGTGCAAGTGTAGAGTGCAGGTGTGTGTGTGTCGGAGTCTTACGTTGTTCCGGGGTGTCAGTGAACACCTCTGCAACAGAGCCGACGAGACCAGATCAGACTCTTCTGTCACATCTGCACACAGGAACAGAAAGTAGAGTTATGATCTCATCACTGTGACCACACTGTTCGTCTATGTTTATGTATGATGTCATCACCTGTAGCTCTCCTCCGATTGGCTGTCTTCACCCTCCCTGCACCTGGAGGTAACGTCCTGCCTCTCTTCTTCCTCTGCTTCTCCTTCCTGTTTCCTGAAAACACCGTCCTCCACAGGGCTCTGGCTCCGCCCCCTTCCACCTCCATCTGTCTGAGGGGCAGAGCCTCTCTGAGTCCCTTCAGCTGGTGGAGGAGAGCCCCGCCCCCAGCCTGCAGAGGAGGGAGGGAGAGTGTCTCCTCTGACCCCGCCCCCTCTTCCTCTGACACCTCCTTATCCTCTCCTGGCCCCGCCCCTCTGGCCTGCAGAAGGCGGGGCCTAGTCTGTAGCACTTCAGGGTTGATGTCATCAAAAGAGCCCCGCCCTCCAGCAGGCTGTCTCTGAGCAGTTTCCATGACAACAGGTGTGAGCTGTGTGGGTGGAGCTGTGTCTCTGTCTATGTCGGGGGTGGAGTCAGGCGTGGTGAAGAAGGAGGCAGTGGACGGCGTGTTGGCAGTTGGCGGAGTCTCATACGGTGGTGTGGAGGAGGTGACACAGGGCAGCGGGCCGGAGGTGGAGTCAGGCTTCACAGGTGTGTCACACTGTGTGATGTCACTTCCTGCAGGTGAGGAGACGACTGGAGGAAACTCCTCCTCTGAGGTGGAGAGAGGGGGAGGAGTTACAGAAGAGGTTAGGAGTTAACATAGCATACAGTAGATGGAAATACTACAAACAAACTTCAGGAAGTGTTTTATTGGGAACAGAGTAGTCTCGCCACCAGTCAATCAGAGATCTCCGCCTTCTGATAGTCTGGGGACACTCCTATCTAAAGTGTGTTTAACACACTGGTGAAAACGGCCGGCAACAAAGCAACGCCTCTTGCATTTTTGAAAAGGACACGCCTTCTCGGAAATGTGCGCTCCCCCTTTTCTTGTCTGCAAGGAAACAAACACACAGAGAGCTTGAAAATGGATGCCGAGAGATTTAACTCCGTTTTATCAAACGTGTGCTCGTCCGTGAAGAAAATATTTTTTTTCCAGCGGATGTCTTAGTTACAACACGATTGAGCTAACTGGAGTAGTTTCATGTCGTATCCGACAACAGGAGGCTTGTCCCTGTCAGCTGCAGCCACTGGTGCTTTCTAGACATCGTGATTTCCCAAAACTGAATAAATACTACACATAGCAACACAAAACTGCTTTGCTAGCTTAATCATGTTGTAACTAAGATATCCGCTGGAAAAAATATTTTTTTCACGGACCGTTTATTGAGTTATTACCTATTACAGACACCGCTAACGGCTAAGAAATAGTAATATTTGTTCAATCATTGTGTTTATAGACTTTACAAACATCGGATTAGTCTAAATGTTGATACAGTGATGTGAAAAATGTGATATATATACATTATACAACAGTTAGTTCCGGCCCTGCAATCTGATGGTCAAGAGACAGTAAAACCGTGACGATATTGGAGTACAACATCATGGTTATTTCACTGTGTATGTATCACTCCGCCTCATAGCTGACTGCAATCAACAATCAAATCAAAACTGATGGTTAGTGTCAGTTAGGTCAGCAGTTGCGTTGTAGGCTAATTAATTCATCCACTGTCAAACAGCCAAAAATATGGATTTATTTCCTAAAATAAGTTTTGAATTGAACTATGAATGGTCATCAGAGGAAGATGAGGGAGAGGAGAAGCTGAATCCATCTGAGCACACATCCAGGTTTGTCAGTGTTTCATCAGCGGAGCTCAATGACTTGGAGAAAAGCAACATACTGTCA